CAGCTGGGGCCCGCAGCAGCTCCGCGGGCTGAAGCTCGGCGTGGAGGAGCAGGGCGGAGTGGGTCCGGCCGTGCAGGAGGAGGGCGGGGTGGGTCTGGGGGTACAGGAGCGGGGCGGTCGCGGGCACGAGCCCAACCTGGGAGTGGTGTGGGGGCCGACAAACGGCGTGGACTGGAGGCATTCGCCTGGGTGGAAGGGCTCGGCCGGCTGGCCTGTGGCGCAGGAGGAGGGGCTGGGGCCCCGCAAGCAACACCAGGAGAAGGGGGGAGGCAGCCCCGCAGTGCAGGAGCGGGGCGAGGCCCGCGCCGGGGTGCAGGAACTGGGGGAGGGGAGCCCACGCAGGCTGCTGCAGCAGCCTGAGCAACTGTCGGGGTTCGGGGACGGCTTCGGTGAGCGCGGGGAGGGGCTCGAAAGTTCGGGCGAGCAGGGTGAGCAGAATTGGGAGAGCTGCGGGCACCTCAGACTCGAGGCGGGGGTCCTGGGAGCAGCCCCAGCGCGTCGAGACACTTTTGAGCTGGTGGGGAGGGCCCGGCCTGTGGGCCCCCAGGGGCCTGACGGGGAAGGGCGCCTGGGAGTGCAGGAAGCAAATTGGCTGCCAGGTGTGCAGGAGGGACAGGTGGTTTGGGCTGTCCAGGAAACGTATCTGAACGGGAAGGGGTCCCAGGAGGGAGAGGGACCCCCCGAGGGGCACAGGACCCGCAGGCGCAGGCGTAGGAGGAGGTGGTAACCCGCAGGCCACCAGCTTGGCACTGGGATCCCTCCTGGGTCGAAGGGAGTACAGGATGTAGGAGGTTGGGGATTGGGGCACAGAACAGCACTGTGAACCTTAGAGCTTCTGAAGCCATTGCCCAAGGGCAGGAAGTGGCCTGCAGGATCCTCTTCTGTTTCTTCATCCTGGGCATCATCGAAGATTTTTCTGCAGGGAGGCAGCTGAAAGAGGCAGGTAAGGAAGTCCAGTTCTGTTCTTAGCTGGAGTTGATGTGTTTGGAAGCCCAAAAGAGGGTGCTTTCCAAACTGCTTTTGTGTTCTTTTAGGTTGACATTTCCCTCCAGTAATGTATATAGCGAATGGAGTGATGGAGCATCCATCTCCTAGCCTAGACTGGATAGGAGATCCTCTGGGTGGTTGCCAGGTCTGGGCAGAGGGAAAACAGGGATAGTCGTACGTTTTAAGTCTACTGATGGAGTTTGGGGTCCCTCCACACAATAGTGTGCATGTTGTGATCAGCACAAGTTGCTTCCAGCCACTAAGAGAAAGGAAGAAGGCATCAGACCCTTGTAACCCTGTTGGCCACATGAGCTGAGATTTAAGTGTGGCAGCCAATAGCTTGGGCACGAGCCTGATCTGCTCCTGCCATGAGGTCTTGTCATGGTTGATTTATACTAATGGCCCAGAGCCAAGGTTGAAAAGTGGGCAGAAGAGCAGAGAGCAACTTGTGAGGTCTTTTGTCTGAGTGGGACCTTGGGATCCCAATGTGAAAAAGGTGGGAGAGGAAGGTGTGCCTGCACTGCTGTACTCTGGACTGTGTCTGTGGTGCAGGCCTTAACCTCACCCAGTGGAGATTGACAGATGGGTAGCTGTGGTGTTGTGGGCTCTGAATCCTGTAGGGCCCACTCCTGGCCCAGCCTAGAGGTGGGGCTTACAGAGGCCAGGGCCAGAGGCTAGATTTGACTTCTTATTGACTCATGTGGCCTGAATGCCAGCCCTGCTCATTCCTAGGGTGGTTTGGGGGCTTGGTTAGCAGCTTATGGGCTTTATCTTTCTAGGGCTGTTCACTCCTTTCCTGGCACTGTCAGGGTTGTTGGTTGCTTCTGTAGTTCTCAGGTAGGGATGCATGCAGAGTTGCTGCCTGCTCAGGACCTTAACCGGGACCCATCTTTGAGGCAACCTTGAGTGGCTGAGTCAGATAACTCCCATACCCCAGTGCTCCTGAACTACACTGGGTGGAGATAGAGCTTTCCTGTGGAGGCAGAGGGAGTGGTGGTGGTGGTGGCTGGGACTGCTGGAGAAGCCGGTTAGCCTGCTACTCATGCAAACCCAAACTTGTCTGTCAGCTTCATCCCGTGCCTGTCACACTTCCTCCCACTCACTCACTTACCGGAAGTTCAGCTGCAGTGTCCACGGTGCCTGGCTCTTCTGGAATGGCCAGAGGGGTTCTGGCTTTCTGGCTTCAGAGGAGAGAATTGTCTGTTCTAAGCACATATACACAAGCATATATACACCTCCACCTACTTGTTTAGGTCTACTTTTTGAATTTGTGATAGATGAAGAGAAGGAGAAAGGTTTTAGAATTAGGCTTATCTGTTTTGATTTGGTGATACCATTTATTACTAGTTCTGTAACCTTGGGTAAGATAACATCTCTGGGTTTGTTTCCTTTTCTATTCAGTGGCCATGACTCCTTCAGAGTTCTGAGTGCAGTGGTACCTGGTTTCCACCTCCCAGAATCTCTGATCAGCAACAGATGTTGGGGAGACAGGATCATATCTCTTAAGTCTGAGATTACCACCCTGCTCTGTGCTTATTCTGGAAGATGTGGGGTTTTTTTGTTTTTTTTTTAATAAGCTTTATTAAGGTATAATGACATGGTAAACGGAACATACTTAAAACATACAACGTACAATTTAATTAGTTCAACGTTGTGTGTATCCTTTGAAGCCATCACCATTAACAAGGTAGTGAATATGCCCAGGTTTTTTTTTTTTGTCCTTAGGAATTCATTTCACCTCTCTTCTGTTGTTCCCTCCTCAGGTAATACACTGATCTGCTTTCTGTCAATCTGAGTTTGTAGTATCTAGCATTTTGTGTACATGGGAATCAAATGACATGTGCCCTTTTTAGGGTCTGACTTTTGCCTATTAACTTTTGAAATTCATCCTCATTGTTGCATATATCAGAGGTTTATCCTCTTATTGCTGAGTATGCTGTTGCACGCATATGCCACAGCATCTATTCATTTACCTGTTGGATTGTTTTCAGTTTTTGGTATTACAAATAAAGCTTCTATGAACATTTCTCTTAGTCTTTGTATAGATATATGGTGTTTTTTTCCTCTTGGGTAAATCTCCAGGACTGTAATGATTGGATCATATAGTAGGTAAACATTTAGCTTTCAAGAAACTGGCATATTGATCACATTTCCCCATTAATTTGTACAATTTTTATTTTTATGAAGTAAGTAAATAAATTTATTTATTTTTGTTCTGTGTGTGTTTATTTATCCAATCACAAATTTAATTTTTACAAATTTTAAAATAAATGAAAAAATACCTAGTATTAAAAGAGGTATGAGAGGGCTGGGATTGTTGCTCAATGGTTGAGCACTTGCATGTGTGAGGCACTGGGTTAGATTCTCAGCACAGCATATAAATAAATGAATAAAATAAAGGCCCATCAACAAGTTAAAAAATATTGAAAAAAAAAAAAAAAAAACCAAAACTGGGCATGATGGCATATGCCTATAGTCTAGGCTGAGGCAGGAAGATGGCTTGAGCCCAGTAGCTCAGAGCCTGCCTGGACAGCCCAGTAAAACCCCAGCTCAAAACAAAAAACTGCAGGACTGTTTTCCAAAGTGGTTGAACAATTTGGTATACAACCAGCACTTCATATGGTTAGTCTCTTTAATTTTAGACATTCTAATGTGTCTGTAATGGTATCTGATTATAGTTTCAGTTTGTATTTCCTTAATGACTAATGCTGAACATCTTTTCATGTCCTTATTTTCAAACTACACTTTTGGTGATGTGTCTCTTCAGATTGTTTACCCATTTCTTTCTTTCTTTCTTTTTTTTTTAAAGAGAGAGTGAGAGAGGAGAGAGAGAGAGAGAATTTTTTTAATATTTATTTATTTTTTTAGTTCTCGGTGGACACAACATCTTTGTTGGTATGTGGTGCTGAGGATCGAACCCGGGCCGCACGCATGCTAGGCGAGCGCGCTACTGCTTGAGCCACATCCCCAGCCCTTGTTTACCCATTTCTAATTGTGTTTTTTGTAATGTTAAGTTTTGAAAAGTTTTTTTTAAATATTTATTTTTTAGTTATAGGTGGACACAATATCTTTATTTTATTTTTATATGATGCTGAGGATCAAACCCAGTGCCTCATGCATGGTAGGCGAGCACTTTACCTCTGAGCCACAACCCCAGTTCCTTGAAAAGATTTTTGTATTCTGGATATAAGCCCTTTGTTAGGTATCTGTTTTGCAAATCTTTCAGTTTGTAGTTTGCAACTTAGTTCTCTTAACATTGTGTTTTTGAAGAGAAGTTTTTATGTTTTTGTTTTTGGTGGTACTGAGGATTGAATCCAGGGATACTCTTTCACTGAGCTACATCCTTAGTCCTTTTTATTTTTTATTTTGAAACAGGATCTTGCTAAGTTACTTAGAACCTCAAACTTGCAATCCTCCTGCCTCAGTCTTCTGAGTCACTGGAATGACAGGCGTGTGCTATCATGCCTGGCTTAATTTTTTTTTTTAATGGCCTTTTAATCTTTAAAATCTGCTTTATTGTTATTTGTTTTGTGGTAATAAGGGTTGAACTTGGTGTACTCTACATCCCCAGATCTTTTAATTTTTTATTCTGAGATAGGTGTCACTAAATTGCCCAGGCTGTTTTTTTCTTTTTTTGGGGGGGGTGGGGGGGTTACTGGGGGGTTGAACTCAGGAGCACTCCACCACTGAGCCCATTCCTAGCCCTATTTTGTGTTTTTATTTAGAGGCAGGCTCTCACTGAGTTGTTTAGTGCCTCGCTGTTGATGAGGCTGGCTTTGAACTTGTGCTCTTCCTGTCTCAGCCTCCTGAGCTGCTGGGATTACAGACTGGTTTTGAGTTTGTGATTCTCTTGCTTCAGCCTCCCACGTAGCTAGGATTATATGTGTGCCACCATGCCCAGCTTAAAAGCTATTTTAATTGTGGTGAATATATATAACAAAATTTACCATTTTAATGGTTTTTAAATGTGCTGTTCAGTGGTATTGAAACATTTATAATATTTTATCTTGAAGAATTGAAATTCTGTATCCAATTCCAGGCAACCACTCATTCTACTTTCTTTCTGTCTTTATGAGTTTGCCTACTCTAGGTGACTCATGGGAGTAGAATCATATAGTATCATCAAATAGTATTTCTATTTTATGACTGGCTTGTTTTACTTAGCATAAATTCATTTATGTTGTAGCATGTCAGAATTTTTTTTTAAGGCTGAACAATTCTATTAATATTCCACATTTTGATTATCTATTCATGCATTTATAGACATTTGGGTTACATATACTTTTTAGCTCTTGTCAATAATACTTCCATAAGATGATATTGTTTTACATTTCAATATATTGTTCCTAATAGATAAATACTTTTTCTTCTGTCTCTCCTCCCCTCCCTCCTTCCCTTCCCCTCCTTTTCTTGGTATTAGGGATGGAGCCCAGGGCACTCTGCAACTGAGCTATGTCCCCCAGCCTTTTAGAGCTTTGTCCCCTTTTTTATTTTGAGACATGTTCTCACTGGATTGCAGAGGCTAGTTTTGAACTTGATGTCTTCCTGCCTTAACCTCCCAAGTTGCTGGGATTACAGGTCTGTGCTGCTGCACCTAACATAAATAAATACTATTGATTTTTTGATATGGAACTTGAATCTTACAACCTTGCTAAACTGACTTATTCTCGTAGATTTTTTGATGGCTTCCAGAATCTACATAAATCATAATGCCATCTGCTAATAAAGACAGTTTTACTTCTTTCTGATCTTTATGCCTGTTACTGCTACTTTTTTTTTTAATTGATTTTATTTTTTAACTACATGCAACAGAATGCATTATGTTACTTCTTTTTCTTACTTGACTGCACTGGCTAGAACCTCTGGTGCAGTGTTTTTTGTTGTGGTGGTTGTTTTGTGGGTTTTTTTTTTTTTTTTTTTTTTGTATAGAGGATGTAACCCAGGATCATTTTACCA